CACCTCTAACATTACAACATATAGCAGGAGAACATCAGCCTGCATTCCAGAATAGTGGACTAATACTGGCCCCTTTTCTAGTCAGTAACTTCATTTGCCCCTCTCTCTTTCAGGTGTTCTTGGAACACAGGGATGTACCCGACAGCTAACAAAGTGAAACACATGCAAAAAAGGACATGTCTTGTAAGAGGACATGTCTTGTAGAGGTTATCTTCTTCATGCAGCAATGTTTGTTGTTTGTTTTGTTTTTTTTTTAAACACAGACTAAGCCAAACTGTTTCATCAGCCTTAACAGCCATCAGAGTTAGTGTCTCTGTTAAAGACAGAAAAGTGTAAGGTCTATATAAGGTGTGCAGTATCGAAGGATATACAGCAATTACAATGGTTAAAATCTGAGGGAAATAATAAAATATGTATGCACATAAACATGTGACATGTAATCAATAAGAAAATATTTTTATCTATGTGATCTGAAAATTAGAAGTGAGGGAATGTTGATATGAAGATCAAGTAAATTTAAAATATATTCATAATAAGAAAATAAGTCAGTAAAACTTGAGTAGTAAACTTTTACTCAGGACAGGCAGAAACTGAGGTCCCAGCAAAACACCAAGAAACCAACCAGGTTATGAGACTTCCCAGATGCTAATCAAGCACTCTTCAAGAACAGATTCAGCCAGATATGATTCCTATGTATTAAGCAACCCACAAACTATCTGTTTTTCTGGACTTTGTCAAGCCTCTTTTTCAATCTGCGTAAACTCTGAGCCTCCATGATTCTCTCAGCTGGTTATCACGTGAAGAACCACATCCAGGTTTTTTTTAATTTCACCCTTACATCTACTGGTTTCATGTGATGCCCCTTACATCTTGTACTGGAAATTACAGTAAATAATTTATCTCTCTCCACCCTACCCTCATTGCTAGTAACTGTGCAGATTGCTACTCTATTCCTTCATTCCTACCTGAAGCTGTCTCACCGAAACAAGTCTTAGTTACTATGGATGGAGCTTTGAGAAACCTGGTCTAGTGGGAGGTGTCCCTGCCCATGTTGGGGGCCTGGAACTAGACAGTATTTAAGGTCCCTTTCCAACACAAACCATTGTGTGATTCTGTGATTCTACTCTGCTTATATGTAGTTAGGCCCCTAGCGCTATTGAGCTTACTCAAGCTAAGGAGTCCAAAAGTGTGATTTTATCACAAGTCACAAAGTGAATGAGGCTGGAAGATACCTCTATCTAGTCCAGCCTCCCTGCTTACAGCAGGGTCAATTACAGCAGGCTTCTCAGGAAAAAATCCGGTTGGGTTTTGAAGATCTCCAAGGTTGGATACATGACAAATTCTCTGAGCAACATGATCAACTGTTTTACAGCCTGACAATAAAGCACCTTTTTTCTTGCATTTTAATGGAATTTCATACATTTCAATTTAAGTTCATTAACGTTTCTCCTTTCACTGGGCACTGCTGAGAAGCACCTTGCTCCACCTTGTTTACTTCCATCCATCAAGTATTTATACACATTGATAAGATTTCCCTGAGTCCTGGGAAGCAATTTGATTGGAAAAACGGGCATGAAAGTAAGATAAAAATAAAAAACAATTACCTGGGAATTTTAGTTGAAAACTAAAGTTGAATAAAAGAAGCCTATGAATTAAATAAATAGGTGAAAAACACTCCAAAGGCCCACCAAAAATCTCCAGGTACTCTTCTTAGTTGTTCTCAAAATAGAAATGGTTACTGCTGTTCTGACTACTTATCTGATTCTTGATTTCAATAAGTACAGAAAAGGATTCAGGTTATTATAGATTTTCCATTACAAAAAAAATGGGTTGTGAATGCGTGTAATATTAAATCTGATTTTCATTCACACTTAAATGTCACCTCAGTAGGGTTATTATTGGGGGTCATTTCATTATTTGCTTTCATTAAGGTTTTCAAAGCTCAAATATGTTTTTATACACATGGGATTTGAATGTCTATGCTAATAACAATCATTATAATAAAAGTAATAATATAACTGCAAAAACAGTACAACCTCAAATCTCAACAAGTAAAATACAGTCATTAATGTAATATTAAATGCCTTTAACCCAGTGAATTGTTACCTTTTCTTCCTGTATTCATTCAGTAGAGATCTTTTATTCCATAGCAACAGTCTTAACTCTCACATCAAGAATGGAGGTAGACCAGGTATGAATATAGCATCGGCATAACCAAATTTTTTAGCAGTGTAAAATATAGGCAGTGTTTATGAGGATATGGAAATCTTACTGTTAAGGCAAAAATATTTTGAAGGCAATCTCTAGAACAATATTATTAGTAAACTATTGTATAAATGACTATGAGTCGTTTATTGGTCTTTGCTTCATAATGAACTCTGCTTCCAAACCTAGAGTAAATCCTCAGTATCTGTAATTGTATTTCAGACAGTGAAATTTAGCCAATACATAAAATAAGTAAAAATCATGAAAGCATTAAATATTCAACCATATCTTTGTGCAGGAGACATAATCTACTGTCAGTGCTTTCCAAATCCTTACTCTTTGACTCACTGTGATTTTTGCAGATCTGTGTTATAAGAATAGCAGTAATTTCAGATTTGTATGGTACAGGTCTTAAACCCAAATATTAACAATCTTTTATTTTCTGACTCCACAGAGAAATTGTATGAACTCCCTAAGTATTGACATTTTCTTGAGAGGGCAAAGAATAGTGGCAAGGAAGATTTTTTTCCTTCTTCCCTGAAATTTGTTTCAGATGTTCTGTTCTACATTTGTCTTCAATTCTGTACATCTATGATGTAAGTTTAATAATTGACTTTCCTTAGATACTTCCACTCTTGGCTGAATGCTTAATTTCAGCACCAATAGTGTATGTTATAAATATTTAACTTAAAAAGTGGAAATTTTTGTGACAGTGAAGTATTTCAATTCTTCATATGCAGAAAGTGTTTTACAGAATGTGATTTGCAATGGGTGTACTGTTGGGACATTTGAGATGAAGTTAAATGTGTATGCACTAATGCCCTATTTTTGGAAATTAAAACAAAAACATTTTCTCAATTCTGTGCCTTTTATACATTTTCTTAGCTTCTTGAAACTCTGATAGCATTTGAAAGAGAGACATCCACTTCAACATCTTGACTGTGCAAGGATTTGTTTTAAGTACAGTGTGTAAAACCAGAAGAAATGAATTAATACATTTCACATGTGCACTGGGGCTCCCTAATCCTAGTGAGCCCTAATTCATGTCATCTCAGATGCCTTGAAATATTTTAACTACTGTAAATTTAATATTTCTTTAATTATCTTTTAAAAATGTTTAAAACCTGACAAACATCTTCTAGAAAGGGAGTGAAAGAACATGGAATTAAAAAAAATTCCTGAATCCCAGGTTATGAACAAATGAAAAGCAATTCTTTTCCTTAGTTCTACAGAACTGTTTGCAAAAAAATAGCCCTATTATGTTAAAATTGTTTGATCACTCTTCAAAAATGGTCTCCAAATATTTTAGTTATGTATTTTTAGAGCACTTTTGTAAGTAATTTTTTTTCTTCTAAATCTTCCTGGATGTGTATTAATTATGTGATAGCAACATGTCAGTTCCAAATAACTTAAATGTCAAAAATATATATTTGATATTCAATTTTGGTATTGATTTAGCATACAGCCACTCACTGTCACATATAGATTGTGTGTAGCAGCATGTTAAAGATCATGTTTTCTGTCTACCCATTTTGGAAGTCAGGCTCACATACAGACTGTCCATCTTAGAACAAAAGCCTACCTATTCAAGACAACTAATGTTCAGCTGGTATGCTCTACAAATACAGAGAATTTCCTCAGGAGCAAGCTGCCTCATGGTATCAAAAAAGTCACACACTGCCCACACTTACGGTGATTTTACAAGTGAAAAGCATGTAAAGGACTAACACAGTTGCTAAGAGCAGGGTTTGGCTACAGGACTGCACATCTGAAAATCATCATAGTCAGATGTTTTTTTAAGTTGTGGCAACAGGGTAAGAAGCATTGCCATGCACATGCTACATGAGGAAGCTTTGATAATTAGTTGCAACTCATGTATGAATCAAGTCTCAGTTATGACTAGTAGAAAATATAAATATTTCTCCTTTTATCCAGTGCTCTGTTTTGGACCCACTGTGCAGTATCAAGTTGCTTTTGATGTACTGTCAAGATGTGTGAAAATTTAAAACAATCTTCCACAAGAAAACTTCTGTGCTGTCAAATGGGCTCCATCACTTCATCTGCTTTCGTGTCCTTTGAGTAGAGAGCTTTTATTGGTTTAGTCTGTCTTTAGGGAATGCAGGATACCTTTCCTGAAAACAATAAAAACGACAAAATTTCCTTGTTGCCACTTTCTGTGTCTCTTCCTCAGCACACTGCTGGTAGAAACTGTGCCAATTCTACTTTTGATGCAGCCCTGTCCAATTATACTGAATGATCCAAAACTCATTTATAATGTGTTTCAAAGTCTTATTGAGAGATTAAGTTATATAATTTTGAAATAGCTTTTCCCCCAGAGGGTAAAGGGAAACTTATGCACATTAATATCAGACTTGTCAGCTAAGTATACCTGGTAGTCATTAATTCTTTAGCTATACAAAAGTTAAGCTATAGACCTGAGGTGAATAAAAGACTTCTGGTTCAAGAGAGACTCAGGCTGACCTTGGCAGTGCCATTAATCATGAGTACAGCTCAAACAGATTGTATAGCACTGCAGAGACTTTGGAAGGAGAATAAAAGGATATATGCACTTTGGGAAACATAAACCATTGTCTTAGAAAATGTCTATGCCTTAGATCATCAGAAAAAGTCACATAAAATAGTTTTGCAAGACATTTTCCAAGACATAAAGCCTTGTGCATATCTGAACTTCTGTCATCTGCACAGCTACATTTAGTCACGGGTATGTACATAGAGAGTGGACAAAGGTGCTGATTTATATATTTATTCTGCTTCTGATTAAATTTAGTCAAGAACAAAATTAAGAAAGTGTCCAACCTCAAAAGGTTTTCTCAAATGTTTCCTGTGGGTATGGCAGTGAAATATGGTGATATCTGAACTGTAGCAGATTTTCAATGGAAAAATAACTATATTTATAATATATATCCTTATGGTGACTACAGAGTAACAATCTAACTGCAAAGAAAAGTGGTCTGGAGTTATTTACATGTACTTCGTCAGTGATACTTGTAATGGAAAAGATGTCTTGGTACAGAAAATACAATAATAGCCTTTAAAAACCCTCTCAATTTTTGCGTTCTAATAACAGTCTCATTTCAAAAGACGAGGGAGAGACAAGGGAAATTTCCTTCACATCAAGGAATAGCTGCTTTCATCTTTTTATTATTTTGGAAAAATGTAGTCTTTGTATGAACATTTTAAATATTCATTGATGTATGCTAAGTTCTTTTCCTTTTTAATTTGGGCTTTACATCTTCAAAGTGAGCAATAGCATTTTTAATTTAGATTTTCAGTGAAACTTTGGAAGAGGAAATATGATGTCTCAACATACTGTTTTCTTTAAAAAAAATACAACAAACATAACCCCCAAACACAATGCACACAGCCCCCTCCTCCCCCACAGTTCTAGTCATTAGATACTCCATGAAGTGATCTCCATTTTTTTTCTAAAAGAAGTCAGCATCTTGCTATTGCTTCTTGTCTTAAAGTTCATGTTTGATTTACCATTCAGTTTTGTAACACCATCACAGCAGACAGTTTACCACTTAAATGATAAAAGTTTCAATAGGCACTTTAGTGGAATTACGAAAAAGCTACCACTCTTCCACCATGATGCCAAAAAGCTACCTTCTTTCTAAGTCAGGTCAGTAAACTGCACCTTGTAGGCCTGAGCTTGTCTCAGTGTAATTCCAGAGTAACAAAATAACAACAACAAAACCCTGTGTATGTTACAGGATTTATCATTCTTAAATCAAACCAAAACTGACGGTATGATAAATGTAGTAACTTGCCGGAAACAATTGCTGTCTTTTATAATCAAAGTAATTGTGTCTTATATAAAGCTTAGGTTTATCTTTTAAATTTGTTGTTGGTTTGCTTTTCTTTTTGTTTCTCTGTTGTAGTTGTACTTAAGTGACTTTGTCAGGGTTATAACTTTCTTCTCCAAACATATCTGCCAAGATCTTAAAGCGAGGTCCCCAGTCACTCAGATAGTCATAATCCTGATCTGCCTCTGTAGTGAGGGAGTCTATAGAGCTGAGAGACTCTGCAACAGATCCGTTTCCTTCATAAGCATAGGTTGCCAAGGAGTCATAAGGGGGTGCTGAGGGATCTACATCATTTTCCTGCAGCCTTTGATTGATGAAATCTCTTATGTCTGTGTTATCTTCAGCTGGTGGTCTGTGGCGTGTAAAACGCAAGGTGTCTGGTTTTATGTCCCTGCGTATTTTATTATCTTCAATCACTTTGGGATTCCTCAGGGCACCTATGTCAAAAGCCTGGGTGTCCTCTTCTCCACCTCCTTCATCATCATAATGGATAACATTATCTCTGATGTCTTCTTTAGAGGTCATCAGGGTGTCTTTCTTCTTCTGCCTCCGTAGTGCTACATACAGTACCACAATGACTGTAACGAGAGACAACTGAAGTTAAGAGATGCAGAGAAATAATTCAGTGCTCTGATGACACATCATTATATCTTTCTTTGAAAGCCACAAGCAATCAAAGGGACTTTTGTCCTGAGAAAAAAGCAGTGCTTAACAGTGCTCTAGCCAATGAAAAATTATTTGTTCTTTGACATATGCATCTATCTTTCCTAAGTGTTTACTGTACTGCTGGAGAAAGTACCAAATAATTTTCTTGCTGGCCTGCTTTGAAAATGAATAGAATTGAACTGGACTTCAGGTTTTTAGTTCAGAGAAAGAGAGATGTAATTTTTTAAAAAATATTTTCCATAAAAAAATAGAGAAAGGAACCCTAAATTTACACTTTGAAGAATAAAAAACTAAACCAAAACCCAACCCAAATAGTATTACAGAAAAAAAAAATTGGAAATTTGAATAATAAATAGTTTAAATAATTTCAAATTTGGAATTTTTGAAACACATTAAAAATAACCCTATTGTATCTTTTTATACAGTACACTTCAACTTCTTCAGGAATCTGCTTCAAAAAAATACTTGTTATAAGGATCTGGAGAGAAGAGGGGTCTAGGAGAGCTGGTTGATTTTCAAGTATCATGTCCTTCAAACTCAACAGTGGTCCAACCTGAGATGCAGGAAATCAAGAAAAGACAGCAGGAGGCCTGTATTGATGAATAAGAAGCTCTTGACTAAACTCAGTGATAAAAAAGAGGCATCTAAGAGTTGAAAACAGCTACAGGTGAGCCAGGAGGAATATAGAGTGACAGTCTGAACACACAGGGATGAGGTAAGGAAAGACAAAGCCCGCGTGGTGCTGTCTCAGGAGGGTCATGAAGGGCAGCAAGAGGGGCTTGTACAAGTAAGACGGAAAGAAAGGGTAGAAAGGTAAAGGTCGGCCCACTGCTGAATGGGGCAGGGGAGCACTTGCCAAATGACACGGAAAAGGCCAACCTAGTCAGCAACTTCTTTGACTCTGTCTTTTTTTGTAAAGTTGTCCTTCAGTAATTCCATGTCTTTCAGACCTGAGGGAAAATCTAGAATAAGAAAGACCTAATCCTTGGTGGAAGAGGATCAGGTTAGAGAATACTGTCACAAGCTGGCCACATAAGTGCACGGGATATGGTGAGATACACACATGAATGATGAGGAAGGTGTCACTCCTATCTTCAATTAGGGCAAGAAGAATGAGCTAGGGAACTAGAATCTCACCTTGATTTTTAGGAAAGTGATGGAGAAAATAATTCTGGAAACTAAGAGGGGGCATAAGAGCAACAGTCATGGATTTATGAAGGTGTAATTGTGCTTAACTCACTCAATAGCCTTTTACAATAAGGTGACTAGTTGGTGAAGGGAGAAGAATTTTATCCTAACTCTAGCAAAGCTTTTGATACTATCTTTCATAACAATCTTCTCAGAAAACCTGAGAAAGTGTGGACTATACAAGCAGATGGTGAGGTGGATTGCAAAACTGCCAAACTGCCAGCCTGTAAATGTTGTGAGCAATATTTCAAAGACCAGATGGAGGCCAGTCTCTAATAAAGTACCACAGTCCCAGATACTGGGACTAGTTTTATTTAATATTTTCATAAATAGCCTGGATGGTGGGATTGAGTGCACCCTCAGCAAGTTTACAGGCAATAAAAAAGAGTGGTTGGGCCACTGTTCAAAGCGATTTCATCAGGCTGAGGGAGTGGGCCAAAAGGAATTCCATGATGTTCAACAAATATAAATTTGAAGTCCCACACACAGAGAGGACTAAATGCCTACTGCAGATGCTGTTGGCCAACTGACCAGAAAACAGCCTGATGGATGAGGCCTTGCAATCCTGGTGGACAAGAAGCTGACCATGGGCCATCAATGTCCCCTTGTGTCAAAAGAGATCAACAGCATTTGGGACCATATTAGGAGAAACATTACTAGCAGGTCTAGTGAGATGGTCATTGCCCTCTGCTCAGCTCTGCTTATGCACACTCAGAGTTCTGGGCCCAGTGCTGGGCTTCTCATTAAAAGACAGACATGGACTCCCTGAAGTGAGTCCAATGTAGAACCACAAAGACAATTAAAGGATGGGGCCATCTGCCACACAAGGAGAGTCTAAAAGAGCCAGGTCTGCTCATTCTGGGGAAGGTGCAGGGGGATCTTATCAATGTGAATGAATACCTAATAGACAGAACTAAACATAGAGCCAGGCTTTTCTGAAGGTTGTCCTGTCACAGGACAAGAGGCAGTGGGCACAAAATGAAATGTGGAAAATTCCATTAAAATGTTAGGAAAAAAGGCTTCTTTATCATCAGGATGTCAAGTAGTGGAATATGTTGCCAAGAGAAATTGTGGGGTATCCATCCTGTTCTAACGGGAATTGTGGCAAAGGAGAGTGCATTCTCCTTGCCTGAAAAAAAACTAACATAAGTTATTTTGTCTAGCTGGTTTTTGGTTTTGTTTTAAATTCTTCACAGTGAGTGTATTTGTGAATATAACTGCTACTCCATGGGAAGTGTGACCATTTGCCATTCTTGTTCTGATTTGAAAACAAAATTTTCTCACAACATAATTTTTTGACACAGAGCAGAAATCCTGACTTTTACCCACTCTTACTCAGAAGCTATTTTTGTAACCCTGAGCCTTCAGTAATTTACTTAAGTGGCACCTGCATCATCCAAATGCAATGAGGTATCCACATTATATTCTATGTCAGGAGCTATTTTTGCATAATTATTAGACTATCATGAGATCTTGGAAGCCACTAGTATCAAAACTAGGCATAGGCCAGCATCTGTAAGACTCAGTCTGGTTTCTAAAGCCCACATTGTGCCTGTGTAACCCTTAAAGTTGGGTTTATTTCATTAGCAGTGGCTTCAGGCTATTTTACAAGTCAGATGCACTTTGGATATGCTGTAAATAAGACAGTATATAAGGTAGAAAAAATAATAATGCTACCTTATGAAATCAATGCCTGGCTGAAATAAAAAAAAAATCTTCCTGTGGAGTTTGATATAAATGTGACCAGTAACAGTCTATGTTGCAATTGTTTTCTGCTCTTCCATTTCTTCATTCTCCTTTTGCTTAAGTGGGCATGAAGAATTAAATAAAAACTCTTACTATGTTCTTGCTGCTGTTACTGTCAGTAGGACATGTCTACTTTAGTAATAATCTAAAAAATTAATCTTTCAAGAAAGATATTTAAAATAATTTCAGAAAAAAAAATATTATTTTGGTTCCATTGAAAATTGATTCTCTTAATGCAATAAGAGATATTGCATGGATTAGCAGATTCATGGTCATGAGCAATGCTTTGGGATATTCTTCTAGAAATTAACAGCCACACATTTTCTATGCCTTTTGTTAAAAACTAGGTGAAACTAGTGAATAATCAAAGTAAAGCACTTTGCAGGGTTTCATGAGAACTAACCTAGAAGTATAACAATACACAACAAGATTGCAATCAAAGCTCCTGTGCTGAGGCCGACTGGCAAGAAGATTGCTTCCACGTTGCAGGACTGGATGGTGCCATCAGAATCACATCTGCAAACACGGATAGTCAAAGTGTTTGTGCTGCTCTGGACAGGGTAACTGCTGTCTTCAATTACTACTGGAAGAAAATAAAGCTCTTGCTGCCTTCTGCTGTAGCCATTTCTCCTGGTTTCAATCCCAGCTGTGTTGTCTGTAAAACATGACAGTCGTTAACATTTTTATTGTGTACTTCACTCCATATTTTAGCTTGTATCACCTTCAGTAATAGGCTTGTATTTCATATTTGAAACTTGGTGAATGACATGCCTTGCTTTGCCATTACAGAAAGTATTGTATTCTGACTGGTACCGTTATTCATTGCAGAGAATTAAATATTCCTTTTCTTGTAAACCTTTTAACAGCTGAAATTTCAAAGAAGATAAAAATAACTAACCCTCCCCCTCCCACAAAAAAAATAATTTAAAATTACAAGTGTGATTCTGAAGACTTTTCAGTTTATTTTCACTGGATCTCCTTGCATTCTAAGCCTGTGGTCCAAAGGATTTTGATTGCATATGAATTTAGAATCATATCTCTATCAATGAATTAATTAATTTAAAAATACAAAGTAATATACCTGGATAATATTAAATAATTTTAGCTTTCCTGCCCCATTAAAAATAACTAGAGAAACTAACTAAGTACTAAAAAAATCAGTACAGTTTCCATCAATTCGTCCACTTCTAGACTTTGTAATTTCTTGTCATTTCTTCCCAGTTAGTTGTATCTGCTTTTCCTGAATCAAAGAAAGTAGCAAGGAAATGATGTAAGATTAAAATAATTACATTAAAAGCAAAACCAAAATTAATTTGGAAGGGAATTAATGAGATGACAGAAATAAATGAAAGTAACCTGCTGCAATTCCCATTTTTCCATCTCACCTATATGCTTTATTATATTTTTTAAAAGATGTCATATGATGTTTTTCATGCATCAGTGGTTTGTTATGAGGTAGAAGGATTAAGGGCTCTGAACTTCCCACTCATATACTGGTATGGAGTTCTGACTAAGGACAATAAGAAGGAACTCTAAATATCCAAAATTAGGTATGTTATGATTAGACACCACTGAGACAGTGCATGGCTAAAAAAAAAGGTTCAGACACCTCCTTTTCATCAAACTCAAACTTGGACAGGTCAAATTCAGTTACACTTAGTTTTGAAAAGGAAAAATGTCTCAGAATAGTGTGAATGAAACTAGCTTCTATCTTCAGCTTTTTCTTTCTCTCTATGATTACCTGCATGGTATAATAAGTTTAACTAATTTGAAGACATTCTGTTGAATCTTACTTCTGTTATTTTTTCCATATTTCTATTATTAGAATTATTTTTTTTCTTCTAAGTGAAACACTGAAGACCACTTTAATAGCCTACAATGCAACTAAATGACTTTTCATCCTCCTTTGAGAAGAATCAATCAGATCAACCTGTTAACTCCTTGATTTTGAACATTTTTTGTTGCTCTTTTATGACCCTTTTCAATTGTTCAAAGTTCTTTTGAGAATATGAACACAGGCAGGTGTTTGAACTCTACACAGAAGAACCTAAAGAAGCTGAGATAGCTTCTGCTTCTTCAATCTGTTGGCAATAAATTAATTTATAGGATATGTGTGAGAAGAGGAAATTCTGTCTCTTACATGAGCAATGGAGTGTACTCCACATGGAAGCTGCCCTCTAGAGAGCAGAGTGAGGCTGGCAAAGCAGGAAGAAAGAGATCTGCAGTCCCTCTGGAAGCACTCCAGCCCTGCCAGGGCATTACTTCTATTAACACAGTGGATTGATCTCAGTGCTGCTGAAAGGCAACCTTGAGCTTCTGTCTCACTCCAGTCCTCATTAAGTTTTATTCTGAAGTTTGGGGCCTGGCTTCTCTTGGGTGCAGCACAAGAATACCTGCACAAGTTACACCTGCTGAAGTATCAGACCACCTATGATTTTCAGTTGCACAGAATAGCACAGGGATTAGGGCTTCTTGATATATTAAAAAAAATTAAATTCCACCTTTACTTGTAAAAGCATTAATTGTACTACAGTGAACAACACCGCGTCCTCAAAAAAATAGAAAAAAAAATGCTTTCACATAATACCTGCTTGTTACTAACATAATTGCTAACTTAAAAGAAAATGGTACTTGTTTTAAGAGATTTCTTTAGTGAAAATAAGGTTGTGTTACCACACCACTAAATTGTGCACAGAACAGACCTTCCTCCACATTTTTGGCAAACAAAAGGCAGATGATATTGCAAGACAGGGTTTGTGTTTGGACATATTTTTTTCCTAATATCTCTGCAAATCACCAATAATGAAAAAAGGTTTTTATGGGGTTTTTTGTTCCTTACATTGTAACAAATTACTTCTTTTTTTTTATTTTTCTTTTTGTTTCTAAATGTTAAGAAATGCTTTTACAATTTTATATCTTGGTGGTTTCCACTTTTTATCAGAATATTGCACTTGTTTTTATACAGTAGTGAAGCTTCATTAACAATTACTGAGATCCAAAGTCATCTCAGTGTCAACATTACTGGTTTAAACATGGAAATTTAATTATCTAATAATATTTGAACCATTTCCTCACCAAACTCACATGCTAAGCACACTTAACAAAAGCTGTAATTACTGTATAGACTTGCTAAGTTTAAAAATTCTTTTGATGTATTAAATCTGTTAAAATTATCTGAGAAGACTTCTTTTTAAAGCAGAAGTTTGTGGTTATTCAAAAAGAAAAAAATACCAAGACTTGGTGAAGTTTAAGGATGTTTTAAAAAACAGACAAGAAAAAAATAGAAATTAAAGCTCCTACTTTAAAGAAATTTTTATCAAAAAAAAATTTAAAGGCATTTAGAAAGGCATAGTATTAATGTTCTAAGAGTATATCATTGTGAAGATTCTACCCATATGGGCCTTGAACTATGTTCCAGAGCAGAGTAATGCCCTAATCTTCGAGGAACAGAAGTAAGGAACCTTAATCTGTTATAAGCTCATCCTTCTTATTCATTGAGCTCTCTGTCTCAAGAAAACTGTTTGAAAGCCTTTGATAAAATGTGTTAGATCTACATAGTTTTGGTTTTATAAGATACTATTATTCATGTCTACAATATTATGGATGGTTTCACTATATTCTCTATTTCCAAATCCCTAAGTGAAGTTCTTGGCTCATCGGTTCAATCTTTTTAACTATTTATGACACATAAAGATAAAAGTCACTATTTAGTTTGGGAATAAACCATTTTCATTGTATCAGCCTCACAGGAGAGCTATACATAAAGAGAAAAGAAGCACAGTTTGTTTTTTCAAATATATTTCTTCCTGATGTTTCTTCAGGACTAATAGTGGTTAGCTTATGTTGTTGGCTTTAGTTTTCTATTACATAACAATGTCAATAGTGCACGGCCTTAAAAATTATGTGGGCCATATAGGTAAGTTAAATACATTTTTTTAAAAGGCCAAAAAAATAGGAGTTCTCAATTTTATTTCAATTGATGTATTATTCATTTCTAGCACTTTTAAGTGCTTGGGTCACTTAATTCACAAGAAAGGAACCTTTACCTCACAAATGCTGTAACCTCAAATTTAAACTGAAAACAGCAAATAAAAAATTAAGAATTATATACTTTTTTTAGATAGTGATACTTACAACCTGCACAGTTAAATGTTTTTCGACTTTGTTGGATGGCTTAGATGTTCTTTCTTTGAAATGTAATTTAAATTTAAATATAATCTAATAGGTTGAATACTTCTTTTTCTCTTATTTGATTAAAGTAGTTAGTGATGAAAATTTACTACAGTTTTAGTTTAGCTGTGTCTGTTCACAAGACTACATCCTTGAAGACGCTTACAGTAGAAAAAAAAATCAAATTTTTGTCTTGTTTTTTTTCTTTGGCATCTAACAAAAGAGTTCAAGTTAATAAGGAGACAAAAGGATATTCAGTTATGACAAAAATTGGAAGAAATATCAGAGCTGTCAGTTGTTGTAAATTTCCAAGTTATTAAGGGTGTTGTACTTCAGTAGCTCTCATATTTGGAACTGACTCTGCAGGACTACAAAAGGATATTCAGTTATGACAAAAATTGGAAGAAATATCAGAGCTGTCAGTTGTTGTAAATTTCCAAGTTATTAAGGGTGTTGTACTTCAGTAGCTCTCTCCATATTTGGAACTGACTCTGCAGGACTACGTATCCTCAAGAAAGCACAGTATCTGGGTACTTTGAAAATGGTTAGCAAAGTCATAGTATTTAAACAAGACAGCAGTAGTGTCTTGTTTAAAGGTATACCTGCATTGGCATATGGATTCTTCCTGAGATACTGAATGATAAAAGGAAGAAAATAAAACAGGTAGCAGTGTTTTTGAAGGCCTGTAGGGAAATCTCAGCCTTTGGTGTTCTGACAATTCCTGCCCCTAAAAATAAGAAAAGGTGCAAGACCTGAATTTATATTAATATAAGTCCCAGAGAGTTTAGCAATTAGAAATGTCAAAGAAAAATATTAGGTCTGCAGACACAACTGTAATTGAAAGTAAACATATTTGTCATTGTAACTACAGTCCGCTGCTCTGAAAGAGAGTTATGGGTAACCAACTTACTTCTGTAGTCATGGACTGTGAAGTTTGGTTTGTTGGAAGCTTCAGATGACAGTTTGAAGGAAAACCTTTGCCCAGCTGGTGACAAATCTTTATCTGCTGCAGTGATGATCTGTATCACCTGAAACCAGATTAATTCTGAATCAGTGCACTCTTCCAAAAGCAGCAGTTTTGTAGAAGTGGAAAGTGAGCGTCAAATGAAACTGTTGAAAGTGACTTCTTGCTGGATTACTGTCATTCCCTTAGAACACTGCACAGTGGAGGCAAGAAGTCTGAATTCTATAATCACTGGAAAACTCAGAAGGTCTTGCTTTGACATATCTGATAAAAATCAGAAGGATTTACTCTATATTCATGGTATTTAATATTTATTCATTATATTAAAATGCTAATGATGGCTTTCGGTTGAATAGTTATGCTGCACTTTATCTGCTACTACTTCTGTCACAGATACAACCCTTTAAGAAAGAGATTTATTCTCCTCTCATAGCTATTAAATGTACAGTGAAGGGTGGCTCAGGCCTATATAATTGGAGAAATTAAGAAAAAAAAATAGACTGCAAATTGACCATAAAAGTCAACAAACAGAATTCCAATATGTATTTCCAACACAAACATTTTGTTTGTAGAAGAGTAATGATGTCATTTTTAAACTGCTAAATTTATACTGCTATAAATAATAAGGAAAGAAAAAGCAAAAGAGCAAGCATCACAAATTTCAAATACCTGTCCTGGCTTGGCATTTTCACATACAGATGTCTCATATGGAACTGAAATTTCAGGAGGAAACTCGTTGACATCCAAAACATTTATTATAACATTGACTTTGCTGGTTAATAGTGGGTTACCTATAAATAATTTTAAAAGAAAAACATTACATTTTTTGTCATCACCAGTCTGATAAGATGTCATAAACTTGTAATCTCAGTACTGTGGCTCCCAAAAGCCCTTGACTTTCATTTATTTCTGTTTTGAACTAAGAAAAAAAGAGAACCAATCTTCTTATCAATTTGTATCAGACTTTGATCCATTACTCTTCATGGGTTAAGGAATCAATCAGGGTGATTATGTTTATCAGAGCATAAATGGAAAAAAAAAGTGAAGTTGTACCTGTTATTAAGGATGCAAACTTTTCTCAGATCACCTTTCATTAAGCCTGTGGAAAACACTTTCAATGATTAAAACTGAATTCTGTTTCCCAAAACTAAATGCAAATCAATATTTATTGCCTAGCCATTGTTTAAATCTTCAAAATATTAAGGAGGCAAGCAGAGCATAGCAATTTAGAAGACAGAGAAAGAGAGAAAGATATGGAAAATCAAAATCTTGCTGAAAGCCAGACAGAGTCAGTGTTAAATTCAGCAGTGAAACACGCACAGCTAGCATTCAATGACTTGGCCGTGTCATGGAAGGTATTTCTTTACATGTAAAAGTGTTTGCAAGTAGCAAATATTTTTGTGCAAAAGAAATGTTAAATAACAGTATACTCCATGTTTCTTTCCACTGTCCTTCCTCTATAGATAATCTTCATCAGTCACTGGATGCATTTGATAAACAAGTTTGCTCACAAATGCAATGTCTGACAAAACAGAGACCCCAGTACAATACAAAGCACATAACGTTCACTTTTACTTTATGCTGAGACCTCCTGCAAAATAGCAAATATGTGAAAAATAGCATAGCTGGTGAGTCAAAAGTATAATTATTTAATCCTTTTTCACTTAAGATGAGTGGCAGAAACTGTTAACTACTGAAAAACTCTATGCTATAAATCAGGGTGTTGTAGGAATGAGAACACGGGATAATGTTTAATTACAAGAGGAGCTGTCTTGAATGTTCAGGAGTAAATAATATAATCATAGAATCATAGAATGGCTTGTGTGGAAAGGTACTTTAAAGATCAGCTAGTTCCAAGCCCCCTGCCACATGCAGAGACACCTTCCTCTAGACCAGATTGCTCAAAGTCCCTCCCAGCTTGGTCTTGAACACTTCCAGGAATGGGGCACCCACAACTTCTCTGGGCAACCTGTGCCAGTGGCTCAGCACCCTAACTGTAACAAATTTCTACCTAGAATCCAATCCAAATTTGCTCTCTTTCAGTTTGAAGCCGTTCCCCTTGTCTAGTCATTACATGTTGCTGTCAAAAGTCCAGCTTTCTTGTAGGCTCCCTTCAGGTACTGGAAGGTCACAGTTAGGTCATCCTGGAGTGTCCTCTTCTCCAGGCTGTAAAAGCTCAATTGTCTCAGCCTGTTTTCATAGGAGACATGCTCCAACCCTCTGATCATCTTCATGGCCCTCAATGGACCGTTCAAATTATTTGCATTGGGCACTTGCTTTGCAGTTTGTATAATCCTTGGCATTTCTTTTGTTTATAACTAACATAGCAAAGGGGAAAGTCTCTTCACGTTGTCACCATAAAAAATTTGCATGCTTTCTTCCTTATTCTTTGGAACTACTAAATGCAGGAGTAGTTTCAGGACACCTCTGTCAAAACCAAAGATATTCTCCAATTATTTCCAAGTTTGACAAGACTATCTGCAAGATGAACTTTGTTTTACCTATTTACAAGTAGTAGATAAACTGATCAAGATATAAACACAGCTAGAAGAGAAGAAGGAGCCTGGAAGACAACAAAAATGCACTACCCAGAACTCACATTTGTAGTCCCTACCTATGAATTTATTAGAGAAATATTTAATAGAGAAAATATATAATGACATCTCCTTGAATTCTTGTTCATTTCCAATTCAGCATTATCCCTACTTGCAGAATGTCTCTGTGGAGGAGGGCATGGTGCAGTACAATCAAAGACACAGTTTGGTCTAGCAACTAGGAAATGGGCACTCATTCTTGACGTGCCTGAAGAGATGGAAAAAATCTAAATCAATTGTTCATAGTTGCATTGGTTCCTTTGTAAAATAGGAAAAAAAAATTAAAAAAGGAAACAAAAAAACCCAAAACAATAAAAAACCAACTTATTTTATTCATTAGAGGGCAAGACCTCTATAGAGAGATCAGAAAATCCCTGAAGAGGTCAAATTCACACAGCTACTGAGAGAAACAATCTGACCTAAAACTTTCTGAAAAGGACATATCAACTCACATGGAGTATCTCAGGTTTTGCTTTAGATGTTTTCGTGTGTCTGTGTTCAATTTAAGGTACAACACTGAGAAATGGGGGTCCAGGACATATTCTTCAAACAGATTAGAGATTAATGCATTGCCACTAAGATACAGGCATAGATGTCCATTTCTTTTTAGGAATCACAGTGCCTTTCAAAAAAAATTTTGAATGTAATCAAAATTTCTGCATCATGTACATGAAAATATCAGATTATTTTGATAATTTCTGTTAGATATATCAGTTTCTTTAAGAAGTTTTTTAGGTCATATTTTTTGTAAAGTAACTTGTATAAATTACTTTTTTCTGCTTTTTGCAACAGTTTAGATAGTATGTGACCTATATTTTTTAAAATTAACAGAAGGATTTGACATTTTTTCCCCCTCAAAACCAGAACAGAATAGCATGCTCTGGAAATACACATGAACATGAGTATAATTTTTACATTTATTTCTCACTGATGGTATCTGATTTATTCTCTGTGGTTCTTTGGAGGAAAAATTAGAGACCAAAATCTTCTATTCCTAAGTATTTCAGCAAACTAGAATTTTACCTTGCATAAATGGTCTGGAAAAGACAGCTATGAAAGTAAAGAGAATTACCAGAGCCCAAGATGAACCTATTTCAGGTTTTCATTTTATTTGCATTATTTTCTTTCAGGTTTGCACAGACATCACTTTAACTACTTGAATATATAAATGAAGACTGCAAGAAGATTGTGTACAGCTTTGAATTCATATATAATACCAAAGACCTGTAACACTTCATGTGAGCAAGCATGAAGAATTGCATTTAAAATACTACTTTGCAGACTTGACCTCCATTTTCTCTGCTTTTTGGTTGATGTTTCGCTCAAATTCAAGTCTTCATGAACCCTGTGAACACAATTGTGACGTATATACTGGTATCAGTGAGTGAGTCACTAAAAACATCTGCTTATGCCTTTTAAACCCAGATTACACAGATGAGAATACAAACTGGGTAAATCATGAGCCTAGAAATTAAGAAACTGATTTCATGTTTCAATTCTGCCTGTAAGATATAGGAAAATTAATTAGCTTCATTAATTTCTTTTATCAACTTAATTAATTAGTCGACTTCATTTTCCCTTGTTTTTCCTGTCTGTAAAACAGTGACCATGCTGCTTCCTTTTTCTGCTTGATTACCATCATTTGTCACCATCTTAATGGTTCAAAGCTATTACAGCAGTAGAAAACATGTAACATTCTTTGAATAATGAACTTGTGAAAGTCCAAGGTATCTGAGAAAATAAACACTGACTATAGAAGAGAACTGCTGATTCCTTAATCCCAGTTATGGTATATAGGAGAAGATCAACTCCATCTTGAGATTTAAGGTGAGGTTTCTTCAACATTCTCAAAATTTGGGTCAAGACATAGGTGAGTTGGGAAGATGGTTTGGACAGAAAGGATTATTACTTCATTTTTACCCTTAAATTATGACAGGAGGATGGAAAACAGAAGTTCTTATGCATTTTATCTGTCTCCTCTTTACTAAAGAGGAGTACTTCCATACTACGTAATTAGGCAGCATATGAAGGAATTTTGAACACGGGACTGTGATTTTTTTATGCCACTAAATTCTTATAGAAGCTCTTGGTGCAGTTTTGGCCTGAGGCAACCAGTGGTCTTGTGGACAATTCACATGCATGTGATGGGCATTAGTAAGGGCAGGGACTACTCTTGAAGGATTGATTTACATCTGGAGGGACTCTGGAAGGTAAGAAGGCATAGAAATGAGCTACTTAATGCCAGCTGGCCTTTGTGCTTGACATGAATGAGAGCCATGTTTAATTTATTAGTTTGCATAGGTTCTGTGGCATCAAAAAATGTTCAGAAACAGCAACCATGCAGACTACTAGGGTGTTGATTAGTTCTAATTATTAAGAAACAAAACAACAAGCTAAAATGAAATATAGTCATGCAATGAAAAGAGGTACAATGGAATTGGGAAGCAAAATGGGGAAAAACAACATAGTTTGAAACATCCTCCACCTGCTCAAGCACTTTGTTCTATATAAAATCTGAACTTTATATCTATGAATGGGCTAGGGATGTTCTAGGGATTCAGCTGCTTTCTCAGTATGTCTGCAGAACAATCATCCATCTCCTGCTTAAAAACATCTCCACTCAGGGACAATTCAAGAAAAGTTAGTTTACAGAATGGCCATTGGAATGTGCCTAAAAAGTGTGAGAGGTGTTTTTGTTGCTATTCTCTCACAATGAGAAAACAAAATTTTAGCAATGGCATGTTTAAATAATATTACTCGTTATGAGTCTACTTATTTATTCTTATTTTATAAAGATATATTTTAGATATATGTCCTCATAGAGAGATAAAGTCACCAGGAAGTGAAAATACTTCAATAACAATACTGTCTGTTCTTTTCTGAAGAGAGTTTATGAAGCTAATTTCAATACTGGGCCACCTCTTTACATAGTCATGTATATGTCAAGGCTCTTCTCAGCGTATTTTTGCTGTGATAAGGGATGACAGTCTCAGTTTCCATGTCAGCACTGGGCAGCAATTTTTTATATCAATATTTCTTCAAATATAGCAATTTCCCCTCAATCTTTTTCAATCTTTTTTTTCTCTCTAACCATTATTTTTTGCTTTTGTGCAATGTGTCATCCCTCAATCCTCCACCCTTATTCTATGCTCTTAGTCAGACAATTGCACACAATGTTTTGACAGTTACTATAGCTCAAATCTTCCCAAATTTTGCCAGTTACTAGTATAGTAGAGATATGGCAATTATTACCATTATAGATAACAGTCAGTATATAAATATTTTGGGATATGCTGCAAAAAAGCACAGATATGTTTTAGGCGCAGATTCTTAGCATAGCAATTGGTAAAATTTGGGATATCAAAATATATACCATTTGCTACAGGTCTGCTTAAATGTCATACTATTATATATATGTATCCATGGACAAATAAATTTCAGGGTTTTTGACATCTTTAATTACTCTTGGGAATAATAAATAGATTTAAATCAAGTTTACTAAAACTGTTTCCCTTGCAGCAGGGAAAAAATTTACAAATCTCAAATATCCTTTGCCCAATATTGAGTCTAAATAGTTAAGATTTATTGAAATATGGACCCTGATGAGACCTTCTTTCTGCATCCACCTGCCTTTCAGTTTCTTTGGAAACAAATTACAGTTCTGTTATTTTTTCTGTGAATATACACCTGCACATGTATCTCCATGGACTCAACCACTTCTGACAGTTTAGGCTTCTCTGTTAGTGTATGTCTTTTCCAATCTTGGGATAAAATTCAAGTGTTCATTTGGCTGTTGTTCTTTTTATATTTTCAGGTTCCAAGGAGTCAGCCCATGGTTCGAGATAACTATAACTGAGAATTCAGGGGATTTTTTAAAATCTGAAATAATATATACCATCTCTGCTTCCCAAATCTTCCTCTTCCTGTTAGTAGCAGGTATTAACTTTTGAAAACTAAGCCAAGCAATACATTGAGGAAAACATGTTATTTGCTACAGAAACTTGCCTTTTCTGACACATAAACAACATAGAATTAATAAGAAATACCTCTTCTACAGCCTGTTGATGTCAACAGAAAGAATTCTGTGACCTTTGCACAACTGCTAAGTGACCAAAATACTCGTATTCAAAGCATAAGATACACCCATGAGAGTTACAGTTTGACAAGAACATGAATGAGAAATGCCACACACATGGATGGCAATGAAGAAAGTTGCAGGTACATAATATAGTGGAAGAAAGGACTTCTTATTAAAAAAAGGCTATGCAGAAGACACAAAGAAAAGAAATGAAATTATCCCACCACAAATCACGTAGGAAAAATAAAAGAAGGGGTTAGGCATAAAATTTTGGGCAGAGAGAAGAGATAAGATCAGAGATGCACCACATAGATTCATTTAGGGCATTAAATCTTGACTTAATTTTAGACTTTTTTATCTAATATCAAAGACTCTTCACATTTTTCTGCCTTCAAAAAGCATATTGACAGACCTGTTATTTGACTAATCTAATTTCATATTTAGTGACTTACAAAGTCAGAAATCAGAACTGGAAGGCACCCATACAACTCCTCATGCTCTCCATGCTGACAAAATGTTTTTCAGCTTTTAATGGAACTATAGTTACATGAGGTCTGCAAGCAAAACCTTACTAAACAGGACTGACTGAACATCACATTTATCCTCATGAGTCTGGGAAAATTATATTCACTGAACCTTCTTAAATAAACACTTGGCAATTCAAGTAGTCTTCACATTATATTTATACCTGAGTATTATATTCTGAGAAAAATACCATATTAGCATATTAATTCAGTTTGTGTCATACTTACTAACTTTACTTGCAATTATAGAGAAATTGTATTGTGCTGTGCTTTCTCTGTCCAGTAATTCATTAGTAGCAATGGTTCCTTCAGTAGCATCTATTGTAAAGTAGCTGTCCACATCATTCTTCCAATCCATGAAGTATCTGTATGTGAAAAATATTAAAGAAAGTAGATGCAAATGTGCAAAGATTACTCATTTATCATAGCAGCAGTGTATCTGCCTCAAGTTTTGTTATTTTTCCTTTCACAGCTATTACCATCCTCGCAGGAAGAAGCCAATAAAGAATGATTTGTTTATTTCTTTTTTTGCCAGGTTGGAATGCTCAAGGGGAAATGAGATATAATAAAAGGTTTAGTACTCCTGGTGTTCAGATGACTTGAAAAGCTTGAAGTCCCAAGAAGTTTATGCACATCTGTGACCCTGATTACTTATATCAGCCAGTTTGGAAGCACTATACAGGCTTAGAGGGAAAGAGATAAAAGGTATGTGAAACAGAGCTTGAGATGATGAATGGTGATGGAGTGTGCCAGATCTGGTCTCTTTACACCCATTTCTAGCTGCAGTGGGCTGGACACAGTCTCACAAAGAGGTGTCCCAAAGGAATTTGGCAGAGTAACAGCAAGGGAGATGGAGAAGAGTATGCTTATTCCCATACATATACAGGATCAATAAATAGCATTTTGCCTTTGTGAAGAATAGGTACCTTTCACTGGACCTGTGAGGAACAAGGAAATATTTTTATTTTATGTTGTTTTGTTTTATTTTGTTTTCCTGAGCCCTTGTTTATCAGGAAGTATGAACATAGAACAGATTTAAAACTAGAAACGTTTACTTATTTCTTATTTTTCTCTAGCGAGGAATAGAAAGCAGAGATGTACCTGGTAACACAGCTGCTTAAAAGCAATGTGATAACTATCCCAAACCCATTTTCCTTAAATGCTAATTAATTTGAAAGTCTATTTTCACATTTGATGCTACTGTTTGTAGTCATAACAGAATAACATTTTTTCTGATGCAGTTGCCTCCAGCTACTAATTTCCTTTTCATTGTTAGTCTCTTCATACCTTGATAGTGTTTCTCAAAAACTAGGCAGGATGAAATTGAGAAAGCCATTTGTGAGCAGTAGGCAGTAAGAACAAAATGGCACTCAACAAGTACATTCAGAAGACTATAAAGCCTAGAGAACCACTCCTATGACACCTCATTTCATGCAAACCAGTGAGAATAGGAATAAAATCTGCTTTTTCCATCTCTAATTAGAGTTATTTATGTATTTAATATAGAGGGGATGAAATGATAAGCACTGTGTTTACTTCTGTAGAAGGAAGCAACAGTAGAAAGGAATATATGTCATATTCACAAAGAAAATATTTCTACTTGGTACTAAGAATGCCAATAGCTCTGGAAGACTTGAAGAGTAAAAAAGCCACAAATAAGGTGATGTGCTTCTTTGGAGACATTTTGTTCAATCAAAATCTCAAAAAAAAACTTACATGTAGACGAAGTAGTTTATTTCATCGATTGACAGGCATCATTACTGGTTTACAGCTTTAATTGAAAAGCCACAGAAATGGTTTGCTAAAGGCAGCATGTATCCTTTTACATAGTTGAGCAGGCACATTTTCTTGAATATGATATTATTATCTACCCATACTCGTAATTTCACTCTCTTTGTTCAAAATTTGCTTGACATTAAAATTATGAAAAATATATAAACCATTTATTAGAAATATCATTACCCTAAGATACTCTCTCAGGAGCAGCAAAATTACTCTGTCAGGCTTTGCATCTTTAATAAATTATAATTTCTTCCAAAATTAAATATGCAGCAACACACAAATAAATGAGTTCAAAGCATGAGAAAGTAACTTGGCTTTTATTTCCCCTTAGGAAGATTAACTTTGCCTGAGTACCCTGCACATTGCAGTATGAGCCAGGGAAATAAAATACAGGCCTTAATTCAAACCACCATGTAGGGGATGGCCTCCTTCACCAGAGCTTTGAAAGTATGGAGAACATATTAAGTATGAACACTGTTGTGTTTGAAGTGAAGTTCAGGCATGAATATTTGTAGGATCAGAATCTGATAGTCTGTCTGGAAGCATTCACACAGGTGATAACTTCATGCACAGGCCCAGTATCCCTATTCCTAAATATTAGCATCAACAGGATCAAAGTTCACAGTAAGCACTGCAAGACTAACACTACTCCTGCTGGTACTTCTGGCAGCATTCCTCATGGCTTCTGTGGAAATGGGAATTGAGTTAAATTAAGCATGTTGTTTCAGCTTTCTTATTTTAAGAATCTACATATCCAATTAGACAACCAAAGGGAGAGGTATAGGCAGAATTATTGGAGATGTATTGTCTAAAAGAGATAAATTAACAGGAAATCCTTCCAACAAGCATCCATTCTTCCTCCTTTGATTGGTTCTCCATGTATAGTATCCAAGAAAACATTCCTAGCAGAAAATCCTCTTACAAGCAGATCTTCTGGACACAGAATTTCTCACAGACACATCAGTAAACCTAAAAAGCTTAAGAAAAGTGGGAATAGGACCCCGTTTTTCTGGTGTTGAAATGGAAATTTTTGGGGACACCCCAAGAGAAGATCATTTTTGGCAAAGACCCTAAGAAAATGTAGTTTCCTTTCATAGGCAGAAGTCGCTCTTTCACACATTGATGCTCAGTGTGTGATTTTTTTTGTATATAGGACAGCAACAGCTAATCTCTTTCTAAGGCCAGCTGCATAGCCTGAGCTCTGTCCTTAACATGGAAGAGATGATTTGAAGAAGAGAAGAAATGGGAAAAATGTCTCCAACCAGAAAAATTGGTAACTTTCCAGAGATAAACCCAGATATCTGGGACATAAAGTCTGACATTTCTTGTGAGATTGGGATGCACAGAGGAACACTGTTGAAATAGTGGTATTAGGACAGCTGTCTGGATCTTCCAGTCATGGTCTAGCAGCTTGAAGAAACTGAGGTTGGTTTATTTGACTGCTCAGAGTGCCTGCAAGACAGACCATGGATAAGTGCACTAATCCTAAGAGGCATTTCCTTCCTTGAAAAGTTAGGGAGAACTTGTTGATATAGGACAAAGCAGAATTATTTTTCAGAAGTCCCTGAACAGGCCTGCCTTGCAGCTCTCAGTACCAGACATTGATATCATTCATATTCACTGTCAGTGAAGAAATTTTGACATGTATGTCTCTCTGAATATTCTTTCCAGCAGAAGTGTTTTCCAGATTATATTATTGAAGGCAGGGAATGTGTGGAAGGATATATCTTTGGTAACACTGTCTTGAGTTTTCTCAAGAATAGCTGCATTTGGACATCATGTAGGATAGGAGAGATAGAATGGAAATACTCAGTTTATAAAATTATTAGATTCAAGCCTATAAGGCTCACCCAGAATCCACAATGACCTCTTAGAAGCTCCAAGAACTACGGACACTCACCCTGGCTAGACAGTGAGGCTGCATGTCCTTCACGAGCTCTCACAGAACACTTCCACAGAAGAGGGCTCACCTCCTTTCAAAGTGAGGAGGACAACAAAGAAGACTGAGCTGACTCCTGCTGCAGCACAGAAGATGGCAGTGCTTGATGGAGTGCTATTGAATACATGAGTGACAGCAGGTCATCCCTGTGAGGATAACAGTGACTCTGAACCATTGAGCAGACAACTGCAGTGACTTCAGACTGCTGTGCCATGAATAAAAGAACTGGATAGCTGTCCTGTGCTGCTGGAGAAACCCGTGTGACAACTTGCTCTGAAGGGATGGAAGGTGGCAGGATGCTAAGGAGGCTGTGAAGCTTAGGACTTGGATGTATTTTTTGGTCTTAAAAATGTGGAGGGGAAGATTTCTCCTGCCTATCACAGAAAATGTTTGTTCTTGATATTATGGTCGAGTAATTTCAGGCAGGAAATGAGCAAGGTAAGGCATCTAAAAGTGTGTGTATTTTAGAGGAAGAGAAGACTGCTTTAAAGCTGTGCTGGGAGGATTAAGGCCAAACGCCAGAGGTAAAACTCAAGGATTGACCTTAAAGAGTGCTAAAGCACAGACAATAGATAAAGTGAAAGATAAAAAAGGTAGTGGCAATATAAGATCAGCACAACCAAAATTAGGCATTTGAAGGTTAATGGCTTCTGATCATTATGCCTTTGTGCTCAATAAACACTTCCTTAAACATTTCTATAGTTAGTTTGTTTGTTTGGTTTTGGGTTTTGTTGTTGTTTTTTGGTTTTGTTTTTTTTTGTTTGAGAGGGAGAAATAACCAGGTGATAGAGGAGCTTTACAAAAATAACCTTAATTTGTCTCAACTCACACTTTGCTGATGTAAAGCACATTGCTTACTCTAGTACCTAGTGACTTACAACACAGGTTATTTTTAAGAAAAATATTGCAAAGAAAGGTAAGGGATGAAATAACAATTTTCTGTAATGTGATAGATTACTAATTGTGTATATGACCTTAAATTGTTTAAACTGCATTCACTCTAAGTTTTATTTAAATATTAAACTGCAACTAAACGAATTTCTGGGTCTATGACAACTTAAGATATAAAAATACCACCTATCATATCAGAAATAATAAGGAGTGGCTTAAAAACATTAGAAACATAAATGAAAGCTAAGAGAATTCAGTTGGGTATTGTGATAGTTAAGATTTTTTTGTAACTCCAATACATATATAATTAAATAGATGAAAGAAGCATTAAAGCAGGAATGGCAAAAGGGATGAGAGATTGGAGGAATATAAATGAGCTTCTAGGTGTGATGAGACTACTTGAAAGCCCAAAAGAATTTTCATTAGTAGATTAATCATGTGCTGTGGGTTGAAATTATTAGATCTCTGCATATAACTGGATGTTGAGAATATGACACCTCTACAATACAATTTTGTCCTGGTCATTAAGTCAATAGATAAATATAAAAAAAAATTAGAGAAAGCTTACAGAAAAGCAAGAAAAACTGTCTTGGTTCTAAGAATTTTCAAGTTATAAGGAAAGATTAAAAGAACTAACATATGCTTTAGCATGGATAAGAGATGAAAAAAGGGAGACAGAATAACAGCCTGCAGATAACTGAAGAGCTTCAACAGCAAAAAGGGGAGGGTAGGATTTTTTTCAACACAGAGAGG